AATATACAGCATACATGTATATGAAAATCGATGTTTACATGAAATAACAAACATAATGCATAAACAAACATAGGACACGTAGTCAAACAGAAGTCATGCACTGAAGTTTCAGTATACCTTCCATAATCGGGTAGTCATCCTCAATGATCGCTGTTTCGTTGCTCTGTCTCTCAGAGAAACAAACTAAAAACGTATATTTACTCTCCTTTATTGATGAGATTGAATGCGTTGGAGGTTGAAATGTGTAATTCAGTTTTGCAGACAGGTTTGCTGATTTATTGGTGTGTATGTATTTATTGTTGATTTATGTGTGTATCGATTAACTCAGATAGATGTTGGGTCGAACTACGCCCCTCTGAGAGTGCTATATTACCTAGTACTGTAAAACAGAGTAGGACGAAGCTATATGTACTACGTATGTATATATGAAACATATGATATATGTAAGAAATTATATTTATGTATATATATATGAATACATACAAATATACATACATATAAGAATACATAAATGATATTATCATATATATACAGATGTGTGTTTATTTGTCACGAGCTGACACGAATGTCAACCCATGTTTTGGGAACTGCCGTGACTCACCCCAATACGTTTGGCGTTACACCGTATAAACTTAAAAAATTGCGTTCATGTGAAACGTTTATATCCTATCGGCCCTGTAGGTGTGACTATAGGTGCATGTACGGAGCCCTGAGGTTCAAAGTGTGTTTAATATTTAAAGTGTGTCAGTTTGGTCCTTAAAACAGGTGTATTTTTTCCAGTCTTTATCGAAAAAAAGCGTTTACGTTTAATTTCTATTGCGGACCCCTTTAGGATGATGGTGGTGTCCGTCATCAATTTCCACTGAGTCGGCTTTGTGAGTAACAATGTACGATAACGATAACATCCAGTCTATCCATTATCATGTTGGTATTTATATAGTAAATACATACAGATAGGTAATATGTGTGTAATTTTACTACTATGTACGTATATAAGGACAATAACATAATGTATATACGTATGTGACACATATGCAAACCAGGCGTGAGATATATGAAGGGCTCAGGTCGTAGTGCTAAGTACTTCGTTTTGCCTGTCTTATATAGAATCGGGGGTTCCACCCGAACTTTGCATATCTATTTCACAGATATACACGTCCAATATTACATCTGACTTAGGAGTACAGCCCTAGGTCAATCCTCGCATTAGATTCAATTACGGAATCAGTCTACAATACAAACATACACACGTGTGCACGTCTAGTTCTTGGCGAATAAGAACAACCCTGGGTCGTTGCATCGCAGTCACTTCGTTGTACGTTCACGGGACCCTTCAAGGCTATAGAACTCTATTTCAAGATACACATACAAGGTGAGTAACATCTATAACTGTATTTTGTATATATAATATGCGCTGTATGGTGAGGTCCAGTGGGTTGAAAGTACATACTATCGCAGTATGATACATTGCTCCTATCAGTATTTAACGCTTCGGTGTATACGTTTTTGTCTATGTAGCGGGTGTAAACGATAGCTATTCACATTCAAATATATACCTTAGACTCTGCTTTTAAGTGTGCACCTTAGAGTAAGGGGTGTATAAGGTAGTCGTCTCCTATTAAGTTTGTACCATAGGCCTTTGTCTTGGGTGTATAAAATAGTTGTTTACTAAAAAGTGTATCTCATGTGAACAGTCCTCACGAGGATCTACGACAGTTTATACAGTTTTAAAAAGTATAGCGTATTTAATAGCCGATGTGGGGGATACTTGAGGCAGTAGTTCAGTGAATACGATAATATATATATATATATGTATATTCGGCCTTCATAGGGAATATAATAAACAACAATTTTATGTCATACTGGTGATAAACACATTTGGTTATTGTAGGGAATATCACTGTACACGATAGTAATATATATATTTATATATTATCGGTTATTGTAGGGAATATGTCAAATAGCAGTGTTAAACCATACAGATGATACACATACTTGGTCATTGCTGGGGGTATCGCTGTACAAGATAGTTTTTATTATTATCGGTTATTGTAGGGAATAATTTAAACAGCAGTATTAAACCATACAGATAAAACATATATTTAGTCATTGTAGGGGGTGTCGCTGTACACGATAGTATATATATATATATATATATATATATATATATATATATATATATATATATATATATAGTATAGTATACGTATTGTATTATTATAGGTTAGT